AACTCATGAAGAAGTACTTGTTGAGTATAGGGAGACGGTTTGGCCAGTATCGCCATTACCGAGTAATGTAAGCAAGGAAAAGGTGGCCATACATATTTGTTATGTTTACGTGTACGTGTAAGTAATGCCCTTACATAGGAACTCCATGGGAGCTTCACAAAATTCCTAGAAAAATCTGGACTATATAAGGGAATTTTCGGCAGAGACCTATTCGGCGACAAGTTCCCTACTTATTTTTATTGTATTATTCACTATTATATCATTATCGAATTGAATATTATACTCAAATACGTAAGTTCAAAAAGTCTGACTCAGTGACTTAATCACATTCTGGCTGTTCTCTTTTTTTCGGTAATTCCCAGTGACACCTCCCTCTTTTCTCATTTCTGATGGAATTCTCGTGCTCAGAACTTTGTATTCTACTTGGAATTAATCAGACCTTAGCCAAGGAAATAGTGGGATCCCTCTTAAATGTTGCTTTCTGTTATTAGGGAGAAACGGGCATTGTAATTGTTTGGATTGTGTTTACTGTAGGAGGCAAATCTCCTTATTCCTCCTACTCCATGCTCTGAGAAAGAATTTTCACAGTTACAGGTTAGAAGCTACGTTTGGAGCAACGTCAACTGAAAGTTAGTATTGATAATCATTGATAGTAATCACCAATGTTAATTACTATTAAAAGTATTAAGGAGTAGTATATGAGCTGAATGTTTTTGATGTTGGTCCAACTATGAGTCTGGGATCCGCCCCGCGTTCAACTTCCATCCAGAATCGTGGTAGCGTTTGAATGCTTTTGCGGCTTATGTAATGACGTGCGGGCCACAGCCGGTGTGCAAGGTAGTGCTTCTATCCTCCCGAATGAGTCTGATACCAATTAGCTGACATCGGAGAGATAGAAGGCTTGGCTGACAGAGCTTACGATCTGGGATTCAATCCCTGGTCCGGGAGCGTGGTTTTGGGTCTTTCCGTGCGACACTTCCTCACGTCTGCCCAGTGTTATTCCCTTTTGTTATCGAATATGAGACATATCTCATGATTTAATGGCACTAACATAGTAAAAAATGAGCGCTTCAAAGAATCCAATTCACTTCCAGCTTGCACCACGCTGCTTGCTCCCTTTCAAGCCTTTTCTGGATAATTTCCGTTGGCACCTCTCATTTTCCTATTCCTGAATAATGAAACGCTGAAGCTCAAACTTTATCTTGCACTTGCCTCGTCTTTACGCTACCGCTTTGGAATGTCCTCAAATTTGATGGTCTCGTCAAGTCGAATAGTAGCTCGCGAGTCTATTAATTGTCATTTTCTGTCATCATATTTACTCAATAAGTTCCGTATCAGTTTTGGACCTGTTGCAAACCGATATCGATAATTTCAATCGATATCGATTGAAACATTATCGACGTCGAGTGAAACTATCAGTGGAACACTTCTATGACTGATGCACTTTCCTTATGTAGACGTACTGTAGCGCTCAAAAGTATTCGGCAAAATGCTTCTTCAGTTATAATTTTCAGTCGTAACTCCTTTCCTACTGGATCTATTCATGCGAAATTTCTATATTTGGAGCGTGAGTGTATTGTGAATATTTACCACTGTCAACCTGCAATCTGATCAGTTCCAGTTATCCAAAGGGGCATAAACAAAAATCAACTGGAAATACGAATGATGTTCCTTTTAGGAGTCCTTTCCTTTTTGCCATGTCTTAAGTGTACGAGCACTAATGTCGAACCTAGAAAAGAAGAAAAACGTACTCAAGGTCGGAATAACTGCAGACGTCACAAACTTGCTTTCAGCACAGCCTACAAACGCCTCTCCATTAGTAGGTGGATATGGCTGTTTTGCAGTCAAGTAGTGTTGACAGTGTAAAATATGCTTCAGCTGAACATATCAAAATTTCATGTGATTTGCTCCACTGGAATAAAGTTACGGCAAGTTAAAGTTGGCTGAATACTTTTGAGCGCTACTGTATGATATAGCGGACCATTCGGAACAGCATGGTCCGCCAAAAAGGCCCTCACCACATTCTTGAACCTGTTTAGCAACGAGAGACTTGCTCTTTGTAACCTCGCTCTTTTCGACTTTTGGTTTCATTGTTCTCAGAAAATTTGTTTGCTGGTTGTTGACATATTTGGTTACCTGAGGGGTTATTTATATTGCACATATATGGAATAGATCGTGCCCATGCATGAAATTCTGCTTCATAGAACCTTTCGTTGCTGGAAAAGTTCACATTGCCTAGTGTCACGTTCACGTCAACAACTAGCTTAAGCACTTCGCGACATGTTTAGCGACCTTTTTTCGTTACCGAGTTCGGAAACCTAAAAAGAATCCCTAACCGTATGAAGTAAATGAATGTCTGGTTGGTTACGAACAAAGCAGCATTCTTCGGATGGCATCTGACCATTTTTCAACGTCATCTACTTTACTTCTGATGTAATGTGGGAAAAAGGTTGTTTTTTGAAGGAAGCATCGTGGGAGTTGAACAACGTTCCCAGTGAGCAGAAAGTCTAAAAGTTTTCCTGAACAGTCAGGGTAGATGTTGATGCTTTGATTAGATTTGATTTTGACGACTTTATTTTGCTCCCAAGCTTGGAACAATTTATAATGAAAATTTGGGTTTATGCATCCGACTTCCGCTCCCAATAATAAACGTTTGAATGCCTTTTTGGCCATGCAGAGATTTGCAAGAGAAACCCCACCCACCACTCAGGGATTTTGTCCTCCCAGACAGGACTGACACGAAAGAACCGACCCCAGAGAGATAAAGAGGTGTTGATTTGTCTGGACGGGTATCGCTTTAGAATTTGACGCGTTCTCGTCCATGCACGCAAAGAAATCAAATCCCAGCTAGACACTCGCCTAAGCCCACCCTTTCATCCCTCCAGGGTTGTTTACATAGTGTACAATTCGTTTGGGAGGATAAAAGCGCTGGTTTGTACATTGGCTGACCACAGCAGGTCATTGGATGGGTCATGTACGCGACCACAATTATGAGTGGAATTTGAATGCGGGGCACATTCGGGCATGGCGAGGAATTTCATCTAAAACGAGTTGATTATAGAAAAGCTATAAATTTTATCCAACAGCAAAACTATAAGCAGGAGGTCTGTATCAAATGCCACACCAATTTGGACATATGCTGGATATGTGGCGTATCCGGCAATCAAATCAATCGAATCACGCTTTTCTTTCATCCCTTTGTCATTCTATACCTGCAACGAACCTTCTACCATCATTCCTCTCTTCTTTTCTGACTTTATAGGCTTTTTGAGTTACCAGGTTTCTTTTCTGATAATCTAGACCAAGATAGGTATGAGTGTGAATGTTAGGGTGATGACCCACATTCGTTCCCACCCTGAGATTCATGGACCTAAGTGGGCGGAACATCCATTGTTATGGTGGGTAGTCACACGTAATAAAGAGTTTTACTATGTTTCTTCATATCGCTTCCGTATGTTAGCTGGATTATCCATCAGCTTGGCATTTTTATCCGGTATTTCTAGGATTAACCATGGAAAATGCGTTGACGACAAAGCTTAGTGCCTTTGAGTTATTTTCTGTAAGCTTGTAAGAGGGATTACGTTCAGATTTGTAGGTCTTCGAATAGGCGTCAGCGAGGATTCGAAGGCGTAGATATACCTCTGTTTTCTAGCAATGCCCACTCACTCGTATCAAAACGCCCATCGTTTTAAATGACGTCTTTTTGAGCCGTTTCAGTTCAGCTCCTCCCAGCGCTTTGAGCTATGGAAAGCCTTTCCGAACTATTCTAGTCTGTTGACTTTTTCCCCATGGTCTGGCCTTGGTCTCCTTTCCTTCCCTAACTTTATGAGAAGAGTAGAGGATCGCATGTGGTGGGTGATCTCTCGGAATTCTTACACCTGTACGCCTTTCTCACCTTGTTTTTTGCAATATTTCAACTGGATTCTTGAAAGTTTCCCGTTCCAAGCCCATTGCCTTTTGTAAATCGGGGTCGAGAACAGATTTGCCGGAGGTTCTGACGAATTCTGAGGACCGCTTTAATTTGTGTTTGTTGATATGAAAAGATTGGGTCCATGTTCCAAGTGTATCTACATACTCAACGGATCTTCTTCAGCTTGAAAGAGTAGCGGGAGGGAAAGCCAGATAGGGTGACACCCTGGATTTTTATTTGAAGTGTTGCCGAGATCCCTCCACATTTTCCTTATGTTCCATCTCGTTGTGGGGGCTTTTTTTGCATTCTCGAAAATATTCCAGAAATTCTCGCTGTGCCACTGGAAACGCAGAATTCCACCGGGTACCCTTGGCATTTTTCAAGCGTTGGCCACATCATTGACTTCTGTTCCAAATCGAAATGTGTTTGATTACGGGTTTGGCCCATTCAATAAGTTTCAAAAGCTGGACAGCTTGTGGGAGCCATCTTTTCCTTTTCATCCGAATAGTTCTGCCTCGTAGAAGACCCTGCAGAGATGGAAAGCTTCGTTGACAGCAGATTCCAGCTAGGGCCTGCCCACGATCCCTGTGTCCTACTGTAGCTTTTGTGTTCTTAGACTTTTGTTTTTTCTTTTTTTTTTCTTCAGTATAGATGGCCAACGAAAAGCAGTGGAAGAGTTTCGAAAAAACCCGATTCCCAGCTGTCATCCCTTGCTTCGAAGTTCTCTTTCTGAGGGCCCTTCGAACAGCAATAGGGCTAACATTTATCTCTAACAAAAGCTCTATGCTGTCAGCTCATAATAGCCATTGATGAGCCCTTAATTTCTTTGCCTTCATTGTTATCCTGAATGGCTTTGCTATTTTTGTAGCCGACTTTAAGATGACGCAGCATGAAGCCATAATAGCCATTGTTTATTTGTGATGATAAATATAGCCAGCCAATCCCATGCAGGCCAGCCCCCGTCTCTGTGCTACTTATTCAATAGCACGTTCATTCTTTGTGGTTTTCAGCGTTCTCAGGTTCATACAGTATCGGGAGATGTCTACCGTATTTGAGATACCGTACCACCGTGTGATTACTGTATTTAAGGATGCTTGGCGGTGACGGTGAACGTGGCGGATTATCACCGCGAATACTGTTGACAGCGGCAAATATGGTCCGTCAGCAAAGTGATACAACCGGTGTACGACGATTGGTCCGTGGGGTTGCCATCGAGGACGATAGACCACAAACCAGCACTAGTCATGTAGGTTCTCTTAATCGATTTATTGATTTTCTCTCATTTTTTCTTGCGTTGGAGCTTCTTTGAATAGGAATATGGATTACGAACGAAAATTCGTCTTTTCCAAGCGTGTGTTTCATTTTCACATATAAAACTACACCGCGTCAAAGAACCCGATTGATTCAGATAGTACCGTACTGTAAGGATTTGGAGTGTTGAAATATCGATTAGTCGGTAACTCTTTTCATCGACTACCAAAATTAACCGCGACTCAATCGACAATTACGTAATCAATTATCTCAGAAACTATTGTACATAGTGAAAGTGTTGGTTGATTATCGATTGACTATTGATTGGCTCGCATAATTTTTCGATAGAGCCTCCGTAATGTCAGATATCGACAATAATTTGAATCAAGTGGATAATCAATAATAATCAAATGAATCGATAAATTCAATCAATCACATGCGTCGAAAATTTATACAGAATTCTTGTCCACAAATCAAATTTTTCATAAAAATATCGATTTTTTTCACAGTACTGAGCGCTGCTTAAGTAGGTGTTTATAGGACATGATGCTTTATTTGAGTTCACTGTTATAGAGAGACACAATGCAGTCAATGTATTGATTACTTGACAGCACTTAACGCCATTTTAATAGACGATCGACCGTTTCTTTTCAATGAATCGATAATCGACTGATTTTCTCATTGATTTTTCCAGAAACTGGCTTTGGTTGCTGCCTAATTTACTTTACTCATCAAATATTTATCATTAGCAGTAATCAACTTTCGTATTTTGATCATTACATCAACTTATCACGTGTGCTCATTGAACGTCGTGGTAATCGATATATCGATTAGTACGACTTTCCATAGTTTTTTATTTTTTCTTTCCTTTTCCGTTTTTTTTTTCGTAAAACGCATGGTAGCCGTTCAAGTAATACAGACTTGCTGAACATTGATGGAATGCACTAATGCACAGATTCCATGCGTTCTCCCTTTGGAAAAATCTCTAGAATGAGCTTCTATCCAGTTTTAGCTGATAGTTTGGAGTTTTTGAAAGTTTTAGGTAACCGGATCAGCATGCTGTTGCTGTTGAGCAATTCTTCGTTTTATTGCAACCACTGAAGCATTTTTCCGAGTGGTCAAGCAAGCGTCTAGCATAGCAATATGTTAGATCGCTATCCAGACTATGGACATAACAGTATACACAGTAAACACAGCAAAGGTTTTCCTCGAACTGAATTTTTTGTTTGTACTCCAACTACGTATATGGACACGTGGGCTAACTCCAACTTTGGCGCCAATATCCTCATCGATTATTATTGTTTCCTTCTGCTTTTTCACGATGAACTTCTTCTGGAGAAGAGCAGTCATAGGTAACACATCTTTGTTGAACATTCTACCCGAGAAATCGCTCGTCAGCTCTGTCATACCGACCAGTATCGGAAGATTCGACCAAAGTCGTGATACTTGCCGCTGACCTCAGAGGGTGGCTCGTTTTCGTTCATTATCCGCTCAGGACAACAGAAGAATAGCCCACATTGTCTCCACTTCTCCCTTATCTAAAGGCCAAGTTCACGCTCGGTGAATCTCCGATTTCATGACTGATTTCTTAGCATCCCGTAAAATGGTATGATAATCTAGCACGTGAGACCTTGGTTGAAGCTCCTTGACTGATTACTCAACACATGCTTGCAGTGTTGAAATTTGCCCTGAAAACATGGCCACAGCATGGGAGAAAGTGCAGTATTTCAGAAGTGGTCGAATGCTGCGCAGGTGACGTTTTATGTATATTTTGTGTTCAGGTCATCTTCATTGATGAGAAAACTTCACTCTTGATGCCCCGATTAGTCGAAAGCGCCGGCAAACCAGAACTCACTTCCCCATATTGCAGTATGAGAAGTTAGGAACATTAGGAAGTGCTTGAGCTTCGTCTCTTACGATTGCTGCGCTGCATAGGACACATATTTTGCAGTAAGACCATTCTGTAGTCCATACCGCGTTCTACTCCAGTATATTGGCTTCAACGTAGTGGTGTTTAAGCAGTGAGGTGGTAAGCATAGCATATTCCCCTCACTGTGACACGATCCAAATCTCTTGGGGGTTGAAGTTCATCGCGTTTACTTCAACAATCGACAGTACACTAGCATAAGTAAGCTGGAGGTCGCAATACTGTTTTCAAGAGAAACCAATTAGGTTACTTTTGCCAGCTTGTTCAAGCCCAAGTACTAAATACTCCAGTTAGGTTCTGAGCAGGTATTCTGGTACTTTTATTGGATTCTAATGCTATCTATATTTCTGCTTTCTATATCCTACCCTCATACTCTTGGTAAGGGGAATATTTTTCTTTTAATCATAAAATTCCGTGAGCGGCCTTCCAATCGTTCAGAGTTCGAAGTATTCCCAGAAATTCGCATTTGAGAATTAGAATTGAGTGGGCATGAGTATATAAGCAGGATCCATATGAGCGTTTGTGTATTCATTTCATTTATTTTTAAGACCAATGTTGAAATGAATTCAAATGGGCTTGTGGGCAAACAAACAAGCGTGTAAGCCACTGATAAATAAATAAACAAGTAAATAAAAGTTGAAGGAATAAAATGATACTTTAGCATTTTTTTAACCATTTTGCCCACAATCTTCATAGATTTCTTTGTGGGGCTTATCGGGTAGCCATGCGTAACCAATTATGATACACATGCTCGAGCAAGAATAACTCAGTTCAATACGGCTTCACGCGTTGACGTCATTAATCACAACGATAGCAACACCTGGCCAGCCATCTATGTATCCCCCCCGTTTCCTTCACGCGATCTCTGAATCCATTCGGCGCTTTTAAAGCTTCCACTATCACACATTGTTCGTATAGGTCGTGCTATTCGAGTTACGCCATGCATTCTACATTCTTTGCCAATTTATTGAACTATTTGGAAGAGTCTTTTGTTTTCTTTAAAAGCCTAAAATTTTTTTGATCCAAAAATTTTTACGATTCGTTGATGACCATTTAAAACATCTCAAAAAATATATGAACAATACCATAACTGATTTGATAGATTTTTATGATTTTTAAATTTTAGAAAAAAGAAAAGTTGTTTTGCAATTGTTTTTTAAGTGAAAGCCAGGCAGCGGTAGAGTAGTCGGAGCTCCTTTTGTCGCAGTGAAATTAGATTCATTTTAGTCATGGGCTTTATAGTACAACCTATTACCTCTGTCCTATCTCGGGTTTCCTACTAGACCGCAAGTTTTTTTCGAGCTGTTGTTAAGAGACCTTTTCAATGATTTCTTTGTGCAGCCTTCGGGAGAACTACCCCGGCGCTTTTTTGATTACTTGTTTGGTCTAATTCACTTTACACAAGCCTTCCTATTCCTATTTTATTTTCATGAAACTATAATCCATTGATAATATGATTAGTTTATTATGACTTCATATTTTTGAGTGATTTTTCCATACAGGACCAACAGTCAGAGAGTTCTTAAAATCTCCGCACAGTACTAACCCACCACTTTTATTTGACTTCTTTGTAAAAAAGGTCACGCTTTTCAGTATTTTTTTCTATTTCTTCCATTTCTATCAATCTTAAAAGTGCTGAGATTGCTTGTGAGTGATATCTCGAACAGCAATTTCTCTGGTCTTCCAGAAATGGGTGCGTAACTATGCTACAAAAACTTTTCGTGAAGATCCCAGACAAGTCCAAAAGTTATTGATACCGTATCTTGAAGATTGGTTAAATATTCAGCCATCTTCCTCGAATATTCCAGACATACATCATGTCCGGTTCCGCATTTCAGAACATATGATTGACATTTGCAGACATGCTGCAGTAATCGAGCGTTTAAGTACCGGGATGGGGCTATCGCAGAATTTGTTTTTTGTTTTGCTCTATCCGTCTAGTTTTTATTTTCTGTTTTTTTTTTCATTTTCGGGGATTGGTCGATACTTTCCACATCATCTGCTAGTCTGAAAATCTGGTGTGAATTTTATTTTAATTTTGATTTTCGGAATTTTATGAGTAGGTGACCTCATAGGAAGCGGAAGCTTATCACCCACTTGGGAGAGTGTTTTGAAGGTTCAAGCTCCACCTTGACCGGAATATGTTTCGCGATGCAGTTGAAGTTTCAAAAAAATTTCCGTTTCAAAACCTCATTAGCATTGGGTATGTACTTTCGAGCATTGAAGGTCTCCCACAATGATCGCCGCTCTTCTCAGCTCCCGGAATTATTCAGAGAACGGAAAGCCGGAGTGTGTGTTTTCGTTCGGCGATTTCCAATGTAATGTGGATGGCTCGGTTCATTTCGCCCGAGTTGCAGACGAATTCGGCAAACTTCTCTCACTGATAGACCTAGATGGCCAATTCCCTGGGGTCTCGTTGAAACGCCATCGGGCTGGCAAGCATCGCTTACGACGCCATACACAAGCCTAACCAGAACGGAGCTATTTAGCTTTGGCTTTCACTATTTTTTCTTTCTTGGCTCTACTAAAGTCTCCTTAGCTCTACCAAAGTCTTTGAGAGATTTTGCTGCTTAAAATTTAAATCAATCCTCACCACATTTCATAAATATTAATATTTCTGATGCCATTAGGTCCGATTTGCGGCATTTAAATGTCCCGACAAGAACGCGTACGATTTGATGTACTGAGCATGAGCATCTTCAAAAGGGTAGAGTCAGAGGTCCTTCACTGGCATCGATCAAAAGGGATACAAGGACGCGATGCCGCGCGACATGCGCGAATAATTCGCGCGGCCAAAAGTTGGACCTTTTTTGCCGGCTTGTTCCTGGAAACGTTTTTTCTCTTCACACTGAGCTATGGCTTTTGGCCTCCCGTTTATACTTGGCTTCGGTAACTCTACGACCTTCCTGGTTCAATTAAGGCGTTTCATTTCAGTAATCCTACAAAGAATTGGCTCATTTCCGAAAAATTGGCTCATATCCATGTATTCGTAATACATATTACATCGTTTCCGAACGTTATTGTTGGCTCTTCGAGTGGTATTAGATGGAAATGACGTGTATGCAATAAATAGGAAGAAATAAAAGCTCAATAAGTAAAGGACAACGTTGCTAGGCCCCTCAGCCTTCATTAAAGGATTTATAGATGTGGTCGAATGAGCACAGGACCTATAAAAAAGTATTATGACAAGCACCTTCATGGTAGGTGGGGCGGTACTTCTAGATTAATGGTCTCGATAGAAAGCGATCTGGCTTGAAGAGCTCGAAATGGTACCTCATGCTGAACCAGAACTTGGCCAGAAAAAGGGAAAATTCAAAGTAAGCCAAGTGGGAACTTTGTTTTTAACGGTATGACTTTTCACCCAGGTAGAAAAATCGCTATCAAATAGAAGACATCATCTATTGTCTAGACTGATGACGTCTGCATAATCCAATTTTTACTTTTTTTTTCGTAATGAAGTTCCAGTTCATTGCATTCGTCATGTCACCCACTCAATTTCAACCTTTTCCAACTTTTCAGGCGGTTTTGCAATGCAGTAGCTTTCATTTGTGCCTTTCCTTCGATATCTTCCTTATGATTCGCCATACATTTGAATGACACTTGGGTTCGTATGCGCAGTTGTATGCTTAGTCCAGTCATGCAACAATTTGTCATCCAATGTATCAGCCAGCCTTAGACGGGTTGAATCTACAATCAGTATTTGACATCGAAGAGATTGAGAGCTGCATGCCCTGATTGGAAGTCGATCCGATGTTCCTATCTGAACTGAAGGGTTTGTCGAAGATGCCCCTGTCGTCTTTTGTCGTTCCTTTGATCGTCGATTTGCTCAAGCGGATTCCAGTTACGTCTCGTCCCTGTCGCGAGTTAATTTTGTCCAGTGGTTCGTCGTCGCTCGAGAAACACCAGGCAAACCTTTCCTTTTAATCAAAGGTTCCGTTAAGAAGTCGGATCACCGTATTGGTAGCTGCGCTGGGGTTCATTTGACGTCCCGAGGGATCCAGTCAGTAACGCCGTGGTACAATGGTCATCATAAGTTTTCATGACGTGTCAGACCCATCTGATCTTCGATTACTTAACAGCAACAGCGTCCTTGACTTCCATTCTTTGGAGGAGTTTGGAACTTTGGGTTCCCATCTGTACTTTCGTGCGCTAGGAAGCTCCATGCGTTGACCTTCCCACAATAACGCTGATTACATGCACATCGTATCTGCGCAGAGTACAAGCCTTTGAGGTTCATGTGAAAGCAGGAAGGACCACACACTCGAAAAGATCAGTGCACAGCCAATGTTCTTTGTCTTCTTCACTACTCTCGCAATGTTCTCGAATACTCCCAACGCTGCGCTCTACCGTCTGCTTAGTTCAGGAGCTGGGTCGTTCATCGTATTGACTTCTTGACCTAGGTACACGTAGCTAAAACCTCCAGAGATGCGCGTTCCGTTCAGCGTGAAAAGAGCATCAGGTACCTGTCCGTTTCTCATGACATAGTCTTCGTTAGGTTCAGGAGTGAACCTATCTTTCCACAAGCGTTGTCGAATTCGGCCAGCATTCGTTCCGGCTTCGCTTACCGCTTCTGTCTCGACAGTATCGAAGGCCTTCTGCAAATCGAACATAACGCCATCAGTAAAACCTCAGTGTACCTTGAGACAGCGTGTGATCGGTGATGTGATCGGTTGTACCTTTCCTGCTTTCCCTGTTTCAGGTCGAGGGTGCCCCAATAATACCTATTTCAATAGAATGCATTAAAGTAGTGAAGCGCGGCAAATTCGATGTTTCTCGAGTATTTCTTGAAATTCCCGAATCTCAAAATATGCTGGGATATTTTGTCAAAAAGGGCAGTTTTGATTGAGTCGAAATATTATTGACATACTTATTGGAATATCATTCAGTATAGGAAGTAGTGCATGAACTTATGGTCAATATTTACCATGTGGGACAACTCAATATCATCATTTATCTCATCTAACCATGAGAGGGTATCAGGAGGTCTCAATGATAGATGGTTTTCCGGCAGTTCCACTTTCTGCATGAACGAGAACGACGTGGCTGTCCGTTCACGACGAACACGAATTTGTCCACGCGAACGTTTTATTATTCCCGGGAGATGAGGGCACATTGGATGGCGTTATTGCCATCCAGTACTTGTTTATGCCTCGTGAAATTCAGACGACTTCATGGCTATGACAAATTGGCTGCCTACGAGTTTCCCGAAAGACTTCAGCTTTGAGTTTTTTTTTGATATAATTTCCATATATGAGGATGACATTAATCCATCTGCCTCGAAATAAACAGACGAATGTTATGTCGACGAAGAAAAAATCGGCGGGTCCGAACCAGTACTCCGAGATAGGAACTTGAGACACGCCCATGGGCAACAGTGCTCCATTGGGCCTTACGATATGGGAGGAAACTTGATTATGCAAAGCTTCCCACATCAGTTATGAACTCTGATAGCCATCTTGGTTGTTCCGATTACCGATTTCCGATGTCTGTTTATTTTTGGAATATTTATAAAAATCACATTTTGATTAACTCGAAAATAAAATATTTTTTTACTCGTATTTTAATTTTTGCGGTTCTGTTTGATGATCAGTTGATTCACTTGCAACCATATCAACTTAATCAGCTTCCAATCAAGTCTTCAACGTTCAAAGGATGGCTAGTGCATGGCGCATATTGAAGTGGTTTTTCTTGATCAGGGAGACATCTATTTGTTTCACTTATTATTTTATCGTACAAAACGCTTTTCGCTCGCATTGGAAAATCTAGTAGGCACTGGAAGTAATCTGTCTGTATTTTGGGTGAAAGGAAGGTACACGGCTCAATCCAGAAAACCTGTGACAACACTGGACACCTCATTCCTTTTTTCCAAGTACAATTTAGGCCTTAATCGCCTCCCAGAACTCCGCTCCTTTCGTCAAAAGTCGCAAATTGCATTACTCTATAAAAATCGGGTCCAGTGCAATGCAATTTCGCCAACGTCTTTTCGATAACATCAAGTTCTGAAAATCGCTGGCTTACGGCTCGAGCGGAGGTGGAATCGAAGGAAAAATGACGTTTGACTTGAAAATGATTATGGCGAATTTCCCAGCTGAAACACCTATGTGGGTAGAGCAGCCACAGCAGCTGAAAAAGGCATTGCACTTTTTAAATCACCTTGGTGTTGTGGTGTTTTCATGGACATTTAGTGACTGCTGGCTTTTTGATTGTTGGCTTGCCTTTCGTGTCATGCTTGTTTCTCCTATAGGACCTACTCGGGCTCAGCCACTGCCGCTGATAAGTACTGAGACGAAAGCTCTGAAGACTGGAGTCCGCCTCAGTCAACCATCTCGTCCATCCTTTCGACTTGGCAATTTGCATCGGAACGATTGAATATTCTTGTGATTTTTTT